GATTGTGACAATGAAATAAACAAGACAATGAAAACTTCCTGTTCTCAAAAAGCTTTCATTCCAGTGGAGGGGGACAAAGCAATAGACTTATACACAAGCCAATAAGCAATGTCAGGTACTAACACATACCACAAAGAGGATAAAAGGGTGTAATGGTAGAGATCAAGGTTGGCAAACTACGACCCGTGGACCAAATCCAGCCTGCAGCCTTTTTTCATAGAGCCTATGAACTAAGAATTCCTTCTTATAATTTTAAGTGATTAAAACAAAGGAAAAGAAGACTATTTCATGCATGAAAATGACATACAATTCAAATGCCAGTAGCCATCAGGTCTGACTGGAACACAGCCACCCTCTACAGGATCTGCTCTGGTTACTTCTCCAACCTCAACACCTGCAGCTCTGGCCTCCACTCTCCCTACCCCAGCCACACCGGCCCCTGGTTAACACCCTTACCATGGCCACCGCACAAAGGCTGCCTCTGCCTCCCTCACTTCCTCCAGGGGTCTGCACAAACAAAACAGAATCAGAGAGCTCTCCCCTCACCCACCCTTCTCTGTCTCCTTCCTCTTCTTGATTTTCTTCATGTCACTTACCACCCTGACATGTTCTAGATTTGCGTATTGCCTGCCTCCATCTGCCACACTTGGAATACAAGTTCCATGCAAGTTAGGAAGCCACTGCCTTATTTCCTGCTGCATTCAACACAGTAGGTGCTCAATCAACAAATGAATTGTTGGATACTGGAAGGTTCTAGGGAGAGGCAAGGGAGATCCTTTAGGAAGAGGACATCCCAACCGATCAAGACTTTCATGATGCAAGGAGGCTTCATGGCTTCAGAATGTCCTAGTATCTTGGTAGAGACTAAGAATTAGTGGTGAGAGAGAGAAAAGAGGACTTACCAGCATAAAAGCAACCTAAGAAGCAGTGTCTCACCTTATCCCAATCGCATTCCCGATTGTATACAGTTTCCAGCCCTCTCTGCTGATCTCAGGTGGTAGGAAAGAGCTGAGATTAGAAATGCGCTCAGAGACGATTGCTGTCATTTGTGTCCCTCTTTCTCCCATACCTCTAGGCCACTGTGGTAATGACAAATGTGCCTGGGAGTTCCGGGTCTTACTACCTTACATTCTACATGCAAGCATCCATGTGTCCAAATACTACATTTTCATTCCATAAATTGTCTTTATAAGTCTGTCCCCAAGGGGTTCCTTAATGAAACTTGCTCAACATGCAGTGTCAATGTGATTTTTGTCTAGTGCTCTTAGAGGTCTATAGTAAAGGTTAATCCACAAGTCCAAATCAGGATTTTTAAATTAAAAAATAAATCATACAGGAAGCACCACATTCAGGATATAAGACACAGGGGCTACTGTATTCTGCAAAACAATAATATGCTAAAGGGATAGAAAAGCTTCAATCAGCTAACTAATTGACTAGGAAAGAAGAGATCTGTGTCTAGAAGCATGTAATTCAACAGATTTAACTGTAAGGTCATACATGAAGAAGAAACTAGTGGGAAATATTTCGAATGTCTTTCACGTCAAGGGCAATGCCTGTCAGGAAAGTGGACAAGAGCTCGCTGGGCCATCTGACCAGCAACAAAGTCAATGCACTTTGCTGTGCATGACCTCAGGGAGGGCAGTGGGGGCAGGTCTGCTTCCTGGAGTTAAATATGGAAGGTGCACCTCAGTTCTTGTCATTCAATTCCCTTTGGAGACAATTTCGGAAGAAGGCCAGGGACATAAAGGCTATGAAGTCTTGTGAGCCATGTGGCTTCTCGTGAAAGCTAGAGGTATCCCACATGCCTGTGGACTTGGACTTTTTCCAGTCTTAGGCAGAGTCTGAATGACTCCAACACCCAGCATTATTCTTCCACCGGCGACGTTAAGAGGGAGCTAAAAGTTAGTGTGGGGGAGAAGGAAGCAAATTTTTTCAGAAAAGAGTTGGGCAAACTTATTGTGACCAGTAATTAGTCATTTGTCGTTCTACTGATATGTCTGTATCAGTGACTTTGAAAAGATTTATGGCAGATGGCTTCCCCTCGTGAGTTAAAGGGGGTGCCAAGATTCCTGATGACAAGAAATGCTTATCAAATAAGGCAGAAGCAGTGCTGGCCAGGAGGTCAATGTAAACAAGGCAGTGACATTGCAGGTATTCATTTACCAAATGCCCAGAGTGTCTATATTATTGTACTCAGGGCTGTTGCATGGAGTTGAGTCTATGTGGATAGAGCTTCCTAAAGCGCAGTGCACATCCTGTGCAACTGTATATGATTACCCCAACTGCTAAAAAAGCTGGAGAAAACAGACACAGAAATAAATCCCATCTCTAGATGGTTAATCTGACTATACTAGTGCACCAAGAATAGGCACTGGATTAACCTTATTTCTGGAAGAAAACATGTTCTGCTTAGACTGAAAAACTTAGCAGCTAAACAGTATACACAGCAGTTTTGAGATTTTCAAACAGATTTATCTCAGTTCACAAATTCCATGCACTACTGCCCTGAACAGCTCTGAGTACAAATGGCAAGCCTAATGAAATCAGGATGCCTTTCACTCATAAGGCACTGAGTGCAACTGTCTGGGGTATTAGTAACTGCCTGCATGGGTTACTGCAGGAAAAAGAACTGTTCGCAGAAACCATACTAGAGGCAACGCTAGTCGAAGGTAGAAAACCAGGAGAGCGCTCCAGGCTAGAAAGCGAGGCCTGCGGGGAAAGGGCTACCTAGGGCTAGAGCTGGTACTGTCGTCCTTTCGAGAAAAGAGGTGGTAAGAAGAGGGGTGGGTGGAGAGAAGCACACGGCCATGGACCCACCACTGGGGAGGACCCTAAAAACATCTTATAATAAATGAAACATTTTTAGCTCCAAAAAGCACAAAATACACTCAGATCCCAGCGTCCAAACCATTACCATCTTGAATATGCTCCCAGACTAAACTGTAATTTCAACAAGAGGAACATTAACATTAAAAACATACTGCTTCTTGAATTTTCTCTTAAAAGAAGGTTGAGGGGGGGAAGAAACAGTAGAATAATCAATACGATACACCTTCTTACCCGTCACCACCCGGTCACGCCTATGCCCGAACTTCTATTTACCTGTAGGTACTCCTTTCCTTCACATCAGAAAGATTTCACTTAGCTGGGGGTTGGGTGGATATAAGGTCAGGATACGGAGCTTCACTTTTTAAAGGAAATTCAGATAGATATGAAAAAGATGGCTGACAGTATCGCTAAGCATAAAGCCCTGCATCTACTACGTGCAAAGACAGGCTGTCTGTCACATGCGAATTCAACTGCTTCCCTCCAGTGCCCCATTAAGCAAGTTTCTGGCTTCGCAGTAAATGTGAAACATTTAAAACCACACTGTGCCCAGGACCCTTCAAGAATTCTTGGCGTCTGTGCTCTTCAAAAGGGCTGAACAAGCGGAAGAATCTTACTTCTTTCCAACAATCCAGTCTCCTCTTGTACCATCAAATAAACTGACAGTTAAAAATCCAAGTAAAATGGAAACATTTTAAAACTCCACGTAATAAAACTGAGGGGGGATAAAACCTCCATGAACCCAATACATCTAAGGATTCCTGAGTTCTGTGGACTTAAAAAAAGCTAAACAATATATAAAACCGATAAACAACTAGGTCCTACTGTACAGCACAGGGAACTATATTCAGTATCTTGTAGTAACCTATAATGGGAAAGAATCTGAAAAAGAATATCTGTAACTGAATCACTTTGCTGAACACCAGAAACTAATGCAACATTGTAAATCAACTATACGTCAAAAGAAAAAAAAAAGGATGAACAACCTGAGAAGTCTTTCTTGCTTCAAACAAGTCTGATTTTTTTTTATCTAGGCTCAAAATTGGATTCCCTATTACCTGCAATCTGGTATGGAGAGCTAACATCCAGACTTGTGGCAATGAAGTAAAACTGAGTGACTGTGGTCTCTCCTGTGTACATTTGGAACTTGGAAAGTTACAAAGGTGTAGAATGCCGGACAAGGTGACTCTCTAGCCCTACCACAGAGTTCAACCTTCGCAGAAATACTGCTTATCTGTTTATGTACTGTATGTACATCTACGCTTTTTACGTAACAAGACTTTTTCACCCTCAAGGATCAATTTTCCCCTGATGGGGGCGATATCCGCCTTGTTGAAAATGCACGTTCTACCAACAGCTACAAAAACTCAAGTCCGCATTTGTCTATTCACGGCCAGAAATTTCCAGATCAATAATGATTTAGCACAATTTCAGTCAAACAACTACATCTGAATAATTTTCAAAATAAAAGATGAAAAAATCCAATATAATCTGTGAAATACATGAAACTGGGCGAAATATTGCTCAGTCAGTAACATTCCAGCTGATTTTTTTGTGTGTGTGCATTACTCTCAGTTCACTGGGCTCTATCTGATGCTTGCTCACAGAATCAAAGATTCGATTATGGCTGAATTTTACACACGTTTCAAAAAGCAAAGAACCAAAAGGGTTTCCAAGAAAAGTTTTCCAGATGGTGGCAATGGGTAATTTGGAAAACCAGATGGAAGATGTCTGTAAAAAGCACAGTAGTTTTCAATTTACAGAAGAAATTAATGAACTAAACGAACTAAGCTAACATTTGCTGCTCACAGATGACATTAAAAGAAACAACCCACAAAGTTATCTGTGACATAAAAACAAATCAGGGCTTCATTAGAAAGCCACTGTGCTATGTGCACATATGCAACTGAGGGGAAACCTCACAATCTGAAGAGATTCCTGTCCTCTTACATCTCCAAAAGCCCCCTTCTCCAGCATTTTCAAAGACTCATGGCAAGAATCTTAGCGTAAGAAAGAGAACATGCATTAATGGGTGCAGATTATAGCCTGTCCACTACTAGGGATGTTCTGCATTTTTCTATTATCTAAAAAATAGTGGGGGCAAAGAAAGAACACCCTCTGTATAAGCCAACTAAGAAATCAGCATCACGTTAAAAATTGAGCTCACCTACCTTCACTGGTCCATGTTCGAAACTGGCGCCCTGCACCAACTGTAGAGAAGACATCATGAAAATATTCACTACTGCCCACCGTCTGTACATTTTGAATATTTTAATATCCACTGATTACCAAGCTGTTGACATCAGGCAGCTAGAGCAAACTGTTTCCAAAGGCATTCTCCAGAAGGAAAGCTCGAAACCCCAAGACTTCGCATGGAAAAACAAATCATCAGTTGTGATCAAAATCCAATGAAACCACTTCAATTAGTCAAGGTATGTTTTTGCACAATCTTATGGGGGTGGTGAGAGATGAAAAAAATGTTCAGTGTTCTCATGCTCCAAAAATAATCAGGAGGTGGACATATCTTCCACTTGAAATGAAAAAGCACTCAAAATCCATTTCACGTCCAGCAAATTTTACAACAATCTCTCCATCCTATGCCCCAGGTTCAAGTTGTTTTGTAAAGAGGTGGTGCGGCCACCAACGTTTGCCGCTACAGGAGGCTGGGACCCAATTCTGGATTCAAACTTTTTTCACAACCCTCATGGAAGCTTGCAGGAGCATGTGTCTTAAATCTGACACAGATTTTGGCAGAAACGCAGGCAAGTCTTGGCCGTAATCCTGTCGCGTCCCTACCAATAGCAGGGCAGTTTTAAAAACTGACTGAAACACTCAGAACTGCTGTTATTTTAATGCAGATAACCTGTAACGTGAAACCCCAGCTCATAGGCATCGAAATGGCATTGCTCAGGAAGAGAGCACGGATGCTCACGCATCCACTTTCAGTGACACGCAGAAAGCAAAGAAGTATGCTTTAAAAACAACACAGGCGCACCGATAACAAAATATCAACATGCACGTGAAAGGCAAACATACACAAAATGATTCTCTTAACAGAAGCTTAGTAACTTAGGTCAAAATGAAAAACATTGATTTTTAAAGAAGCAACAGTGAGGTTTATTTGCATGTGTCAGACTATGTCACAGACACTGCTGTCAAGACCACGTTATCATTTCAGTGTGGAATTCTTTAGAAGCACTGGTGAAGTCAGCTCTGGAAACAGGATGCACTGAACGGGTGGATGCCACCAACAGCAAAATCCTAGAAGGCGGCCAGACCTGCCCTTGGGCTCGTCCCTAGTTTCCAATCTTTGATTTCCAGGTTTTGGCTCTTTCAAAGCCATTTTTTGCATTTCTGAAATCAAGAATGGCCTGAGAAATCTCTTCATCTGTGTTCATCACAAATGGGCCTAGAGCAGAAAGAGACATTCAGAAAGTTCTGGGTGATGAGAATATTTTCTTCTACCACTAGAAACAGAACGTATTTCTGTATTTCTTAATTCGAAACAAACTCAGGCATCTCTGGACAGTAAAAGGTTATTCTTGCAGCATCTGCTCCCCGAGGACTGTAATACAAGTTTCTTGACGAGGATTGAGTATGATTATAAAGACCAAACTTCAGATAAACAAATGCAGTTACATCTCACTCACCCACAGCAGGCTGTCATCAGCAATGGAATCTCTTTATTCAAAACATTCTTGGGTTTGGTTCCATTACAACCATGTTTGTAGTTGTTAGTTCTTTTTATCTTCTTTTTGAAATTGATGTATAACTGACATACATTATATTAGTTGCAGGTGTACCACAAAATCATCCGATATTTGCATATATTGGGAAATGATCCCCACAGTAGATCTGGTTAACATCTCTCACCATACCTAGTTACAGAATTTTTTTTCTGGTGATGAGAACTGTAGTTGTCAGTTGCATAGCATTGGCTGATGTCAAGAATTGAACCGATCTGATAAAAAAAAATGGCGAATCTCATCATAGTTTTGGTATTTTTGCAGTATACGGGGATGTGTCCTGACACGAGGGAAGTACGTCATTTTTGAAAATTAGTAGCACCCCATTGACAATAAACAGGAGATTACAAAAATTTCAACTTAAGAAAGCATGACATTTTGGATTCTCTAGGGGTCAGCACACTAATTTTCTATAAAGGGCCAGAGTACATATTTTAGATTTTGTGGGTCAAACAGTGTCTGTCTCAACTATCCGACTCTTCCGCTGAAGCAAAAAGCAGACATAGACAATACAAAAGTGAAGAGGGATGGCTGTGTGCCAATAAAACTACTTACAAAAACATGCAGTGGGCAGATTTGGTCTACGGGTCATAGTTTGTCTAATTCCTAGGTCTGAACTTGGGTTTTGCTAAAAGGGTAGAAGAGGTCCTCCGCTAATGGACCAGGAGGCAAAATGCCTGTCTCTTCCCTCTTCACATACTGTAGGAGCAAAAGGGTATCATCCCAGAATGCATCACTCCCACCATCTGTTGGATAAACAAGGCCAGCTCTTACATGGCCTTGGCAGTGTCTTGAAAGCAGGTGACAGCTTTGTCCATTGACTATCTTTCCTCCCCCAGTCTTCAGAGGTTCCATCAAGAACCTTTTAAATGGAAGTGACTCTTCTAAGGAGCTTTCTCCAAGAGACCCGGATGAAAATGTAACTGTAATACTTTGAGGGAGTAACACATTCGAACTTCTTAACTACTGTTAGCATATCAGCACCAATGTGGCGCTCACTTTAAAGACTTGAGAAGGAAGACACAGGCTAACATGCTCTGATGATGTTGAGGCCTTTGGAGAGGTTGCAGAGAATAGAATGGCAACAGAAAAGGCAAACTGGCAGCAGGTATCTAAATTCATTCATTCAATTACCTATCTGTCAAGTATTTATTGAGTGCCTGTCAGACGATGAACATGGTGCTAGGAGCTTGAGACATAAAGATGAAAGACAAATGAATGACAGACTCTCTCCCCTCAAGGACCTCAAATCTACCACAGACAGAGATATGAAAACAAACTATGATAAAACAGGGTGATATACAGAATGATAAACGTATATAAAATCCATAGGTTCAGCACAGAAAGGGGAGAAGGAAGAGCTCAGGACAGGAGTCACAAATGAAGTGATGTCCAAACAGGCATACATGGAGGAAAGGTGTTTTCAGGATTAGCATCCTAGAGGAACTGAGGATGGGGGCAGAGTGCTGGAAGGAGGGATGGGAGGGGGAAAATAAGGGGGGATCTGACATGTAGGAAGAGGCCAGACCCCTCCAGGTTCTGGATGCCACCTATGGGAAGAAGGTTGGACATAATTCTGCTGGTAAAGGGTTAAGTAGAGAGTAATGTGATTTGATCTGCAGTTTTAAAAGAAAACTTCGGCATCAGGGTGGAGAAGATGTCTGACCTGAGAGGCTGAGTTGATGCTGGAATTGTTGAAGGGTAACTGAGACACAAGACAAGGGAGACTGGGTAGAGCAAGGAACTCAGTTCCGGATATTCTGACACAAAGGTGCCGGAGACAGCGAAACAGCTTCCTGGCAGAGGTACCTGGTACACTGTTGGAAATAGGGATCTGGGGCTCACGAGAGAAATTTTGTCTGCAGATGGAGATTTGGATTCTATCAGGTAGAAAAGAATGAGAGTCTGCATATGCAAAATCAATAATAAATCCAAGAGGGCACCCAGGAGAAGCCAATTTTTAAAGGACACAAGGGGGCAAGGGAAATGGAACTCAGAAAATGGGAGCAGGACCGATCACCTGCACATCAACATTTTGCTATAGCTTGGCCTTGAGGACCACCTCTCCCAATTTTTTTTGAGGGGGTAAAAAAGGACACTTCTGGGCTTCCATTCTGACACGTCTCTAGGGTATTCTGCTGTGCTGTTTCCATTATAATGTGCACATGGATCACCTGGGAATCTTATTAACATACATATTCTGATTCAGGAGGTCTGGTGTGGGGTCTGAAACTGTATTTCTAACTCTCTCTCCAGGGATGCTGTCATTGCTGGTCCACGGACCACACTTTGAGAAACAAGGGAAGCAATGGGAGCTTGGAACCCTGCAAAACCAAGATGAGGAAGCTCATCTCCTCAAATATTCAACAACCAGAAGAAAACTGAAACCACAAAGCATATGTTTTTGTTTTCTTGTGTTCTTTTTTTTTTGAGGGGGGTAGTATATAACTAAATTTATTTATTTAAATTGAGGTGTAACTGACATACAGCCTATTAGTTTCTGGTGCACAACATAATGACCTGGTATTTGTAGATATTGGGGAATGATCACCACAATAAGTCTAGTTACCATCTGCCACCCTATATAGTAGAAGAATTTTTTTCCTGTGATGAGAACTCTTAAGATCTATTCTCTTAGCAACTTTCAAATATACAATACAGTATTATTAACTATAGTCACCACACTGTACGTTACAACCCCCAGAAAGCATGTTTCATGATGGATATAGGGGTTATGAACAAGAAAATTATTTGATAGTTATTGATAATCCCATAAATCCTCTTTTAAACTACATTTCATCTCTTCTCTAAATCTTTAAACTCCCTCCGTCTCCTGTAATACAAATAGTGTGAGTTTAATCTCTTATCATGTAGAAACTCGCTATAGTAGAAAGAGCACAAGACAAGGGTTTAGGAGACTAGAGTTCAAATCCCAGCTCCACTACAAACAATTCATTCCCATCAGGGAAGCCACAGGGCAGAGTAAGTGGCAACTGGGCACAGTGAGAGGCAGAAGGACAGGGTGGTTGGAAGCCTGAGTGTGAATCCAGCCACGTGGCCAATGAACCTCTGTACCTCCGCTTCCTCATCTGTAAAATAGGGATGAGAGTACCTACCTCGTTAGATTGTTTTGAAGCTTAAATGAATTAATGTTCAGAAAGCACTTGGACCAATCCCACTATACAGTAGATGCCACCCAAGTATCTGTTATGTAAATAAGTGAAATATCTGGATTTCACTTTCCTCATCAACTAGTCCTGGTTCCCAAAGAGTCAAGAGATGGTTGTGGCTGTCTTTAAACATGCACAGGTAAAAGAAAAACTTCCACGTCTGGGTTTTAATAAGTTAACAAAACAAAGTAAGTAAAACAAACAAGATGCTTTGCTTCTCATGAACTGAGGTTTCAAGGGCCATCTCTACCTTGTCTTGTTAATCCGAGTTTGTGTGTGCAGGCATGTCGTGTCCCTGAGTCCCGAGCCTCTGGGAGAGATGAACAGAGGGTGGTGCAAGGCAGTCCTACCCCTGTGGTCTGCCGCCTAGTTCAGATGGACTCCTGTTTTTCATTATTGGCACAGAGGAGATTGCTTAACTTAAAAGATTTCAATCCCACACATCCTTTTCCCACCTAAATTCTAGCTGCTGTTAATAAAAGATAACAACCCTACTCAATTTGTCTGCAGGCTTCTTCCAGAAAAACAAACTATTTCAGGGCTGTTCAATCAAAATAAAATAAGAACCATGAACCTTTGGAGTGGAAATCAGAAGCCTTCAAAATATAGGTCAAAGGGGATAGGCTAGGTGGGGCATAAATGAATGCCTTATTAATAGAACAAGAAAGAAGAATATTTACAAAATAATCAGTGTTCTTTAGATTTGTGATCAGCTGGATTTTTCCCCCTGAAATCACTGTGTATACCTTTATGCAAGTCAAGGTAGCATAATGGGATTTTAATGCATGTTAAATACAATAATTAGATAAGTGGACATACACCATGTTCTATAGCATTTATCTAAATAATAGATTCGGTACGAGGTGCTTTTAGATGTTCCTCATTTAATCAAACAATATTTTGAAGATGTCAAGATAAAGAATTGAAGTGCCTGTTATGAGTACTTATTCCAGGGTTTTCTGCCTCCAAGTACAGCCCTATTTCTACTATACCACAATTACCTCTGTTTGTTTGGGTTTTATAAAATAAACTAAGAG